GCAGGAATACAGATATTGCAGTCATTGTGCTGACAAGCAAATGAATAAAAAATTCAAATGAGCTTAGAGAACACGTCTCTAAGGTGTTCATGGGACCCCCACACACTATCCTGGATCTCTAATTTTTTTTATCAGGATGCAAATAAACTTGATGATGACGACAGCAATGAAACTCACCAATACGAATTCCCGGAGGACGGCATGAGTCCAGAACTCGAAGCATACGGAAAGGTGAGAGCCTCAGCGGGGTTTCTCTCTCAACAATTCTCATCCCCTCTCCCATCCTAGCCTCCCCCACCCTCGAGTCTCCCACTTTGGGAGCATGAGCAGAGCAATCTTGCGGGTTGCCTGACACATTCATCGTTCTAGAGGATTTAAAGTATTGTAGTGGAAAGTGCGTTTAAAAAAATTCCAAAATAAATTTCAAAAAGAGATGGAAAAAATTCACGGCTTTTCAAAGAATCAAAACCCATTCAGTTTAGTGTTGGTGTCCAGTCAACTAGTCTGGGTGGGACTCAGGCTTTAGGGGCTGTAGCTGATAAAGGATCGAATCCAACCTTCGGGCTGCATCGGTACCTCCAGGAGAGCCCCATGCACTAGAGGACAGGTCTTACATCTAGAAAACAGCGCAGACTTCACAGACACACTTATCACAATGCAACAACTCCCTTGGCTACTACTCCACTTTAACTCTCTCTCTCTGGGTTTTACTAAAGATGCTCCCTCTCTCCACCTGTCCTTCTTTTTCTCTCTGCAGTCACACTCTGCTTGCTGATTAAGGAAGGTCAAACACAGTGCAGGTAGACAAAATGCTGCAGAGACCGTCCAACACACACATGCTGAAAACTGTTACACCCCATCATCTCAAAAAAAAAACCCACCTTTATCTGACTGGTGTTCAACTGTCTGACCTTTTTGGCTCTCAGCTCTTCCCTTCACAGTCGCTCTCTGGTTACTTTCAAATTTACAGCCTAGTCTTCCCCCTGATGTTTTTCTCCTTCTCTGTCAGATCTCCTCCCTTTGTCCTCCCTGTTCTTCCATGGTTATCCAGCTCTGCACTGTATCCAAGCTGTTGTGCCACTCTGCCTCTCTCCACTCCCCTCTCTCGATTGCTCTCTCCTTGCCTTTGGTTCCGCTAACAGTGCACTCAGTGTTGTTAGTCCTCTTGCTCCCTCCCTTCACCTTGCTATTACTCTCCTCCCTCTCATGTGATACCAATCCCTCTCTCCTTCCCTATCTCTCCCCCCTTCACTCTTCATATTGCTGTCTGGGTCCAGACAGAGTGTTGTATATACAGTATAGTCCTCTGTTTCTAATCAGGACCTAATGCCAACATTTTCTACCTGAACAGCCCCTTTCTCCCACTCCATCACTTCCACTCTGTCTTCTTTCACCTTCTATTTCTCATGCTACCTTCCCTCCTCATCCTTCTCATGCTCTATTGCAGAAATTGAAACCCAGAGACTTCTGAATGATGCCACTAGCATTCTTCTATCTCCCATCTTCTCCTTCTCACTTTCTCTCCACTGTTCTCTTTCTGTCCTTCCCTATGGACTAAAAGCACAGGCCATTGTTCATGCTACTCAAGGAAGTATTCAGCAGAATGCAGAAGTGTTAATCCTGAAAAATATATCACACTTTGAAAGTACTTTTTTCTTAGCACAGATCCCATTCCAAATAAAATGTGCAATACTGCATCTTGTTTTCACTCCAGTGTTATAGTGTAATCACCGTGCTTAAAGGTACCATTACTTCTTTATGTTACCTAAAATGTTTCCTGTTGTAACACAAGACTTTTACTGTAAGAAATGGGTTGTTGTGCGATACCTTCATTGATTTGTTATTACTATTGTCACTAATTACAGTTTTCTAGGGAATAGCCCTTGGTGGAAAATACATTTTTAAATTACTTCTTCTTTTCCACTGTAAGCTATTCCACTACATTTCAGAAAGAAATGTAAAATAAACTGCTATACAGCTTTTTAGAACATCCACCTGACTTGCAGTAATGTACAGTGCATTAGAGTAGATTGTTATCTTTGTACGGCATATTCAGTATTTAGTATAGTCTAGTTTTGGTTCTAGATTTGGTTTCCATTTAGCATATTGACTTTTTGTTTATGATTTATCCTTTAAAAACAATATAAGATTGATCAGGACTTTTCTGCATGAGTACTTTTAATATTGATGGTTTATTTTGTGGCTAATACATCTGTATTTTTCCTTAAGTAACATTTTGAATTTAGAATTCAGGACTTTGACTTTTAATGTTTTTTGCTTTGTTTTGGGGTTTTTTCGTTTGTAGTATGATACTACTACTTTCACAAAAGTGAGCAATGTTAATGTCTTCTCCACCACTGGAAATAACAGTTTCCCAGGATGTTCAAATGCACGTTTCTTGATTCAGAAGGAAAAACCAATGTATCCAAGATCCTCTGACACACTGCCATCATTTCTTTTCCATGTCTGTTTCCTGTGGAACAGTGAAACAAGTCACGATGAAAACCAACATAAAAACATGTCTTTATAGAACATGGATGTTTTTAAATGAGAACTGCATCCAAAATGTCAGCAGGATAAAGTAACAAATGTCCTTTTTCTGCACAATATTCTCAAGGTTTAACACTTTAAATAAAAACTATCTAAAGTATCTGACTACTGCAACATAAAACCTCACCCTTCCACCTTCCTTTGATATTAATAATCTGATTGCCTTATAATTCTTACCTAACAAAAAACACTTACTCGTGGAGGTTCACACGCCCTACATGTCAACAATGATGCACTTAATTTTAATACTGTTTACACACACACACAACCATACTTGACAGCAGCCAAAATGTAATGGTATAATTGGCTTAGATAAGTAAATAGGAAAGATTACTGTCATCAAAAACACTTAACACATCAAAAAAGCATTTAATCTAGCCAGGTGAGAAAGGTAAATTAAAATAAATTTCTGGAAGGACTATAAGCCTACACTGTTCACTAAACCGACAGGAGATTAACTAATGATTGCTTTCTTCAGGCTCGTTAATTTAAACTTTTAATTAGATTCAGTGGCTGTTTACCATGGACTGACAGACATATAGTGCAGCTTCTGGCTGGCCAAAACATCAAGGACAAAAGCTCTCTGGTCTGCCCTCCACCCATTACTGTCTGCCTGTCTCTTTATAGTCACAAGTGCGACTGTATACATCAAAGATTCCTCTCTGGCTCTGCAGTCACCTCCACACAGCTTTTCACTCCCTTCAAGGAATCATTCACTGTCACTTTATCTTTATTGTCATTGTTCATGAGTCTAATTAAAATATACTGTTTTCAGCATTTCTTTTGCACGAATACCACAGTCTGCTTTTAGACTACTGAGATAATATAATTCAAAGTGCATACAACATCCCCGAGGAACACAAACACATAAAGAAACACTCAGAGGGCTGGAGGAGGGGGAAACTTAGACTGCAGTAATTACCTCTAAACCTTTTACCTGCATCTGAGGAATCTTATTCAGTTACTAGGTCCTGAGTGTCCACTGTAGGCTAGTGACTGTATATGCTGGACCCCATCTAGCTAGTGAAACAGCAAGATGCCCTAACACACATAAAAGCTTACAAGACTGACTGCATAAAAAAAAAAGTCCACTCAATTGTTCTTAGTAAATTCAATCTAGGAGCAAAGAGGTTTGAGCAAATGGATGGCAGAAAGTGTAGGGAGTGAGGTAGAGGGTTACAACGGTTAATGCAGCGGTAATTCATTACATTAAATCCCTAGCACAGACACGGTCTCTCATGGTGTACAATATACAATAAGAGATAACGGTGGTCTAAAATCTTCAGCCTGGTTTGATCTGGAGGTTAAATATAGTGTTCTGATGTATGTAGAGAGAAAGAGACAGACAGAGAGACAGAAATGAGAAAAGAACGAGGAGACATCTGTGACAGGATCAGAAATAGCAGCGCTTGAAGAAGTTTTGAGGAGAGTAGGCAGCTTTTCAGCAGAATCCTTTTTCTCACTAAAACAGAGAGGACGACTGACTAATCCAGAACAGTGTAACTACAGATCTTCACACACACAAAGACAGAAGAGGTAGTGGACAGCCAAAATGAAAAGCACAGAGCTCATCTTCCCTGACTGTAAGGACAATGTAGTGAGAGTGGGCGTTGGCCCAGTTAGAAACAGATGAATTACAGGCCTAACCTGTAAAAGCTCTCAGGCACTGGCTACAAGCCAAATACAGCTCTAAAGTACACATATAACCCCAGAGTCAAGCCCACTTACACCAATTAAAAGTATATTTAACTGAATACCCTATTGATGGATAGCCAAGTTAGATGAAGAAAGAGAAAGTAGAGAAAGAAAGAAAGGGTGGCTGATCTCCTTAGTGCAGCAGGAAAGAGAGATTGCATCATCATGATGCTCTATTAAAGGGTGCAACGTGCTCTGACTGCTGAGTTGGACACAGTGAGTCAGCGAGACCTAGCGGGAAGCACACACACACACACACACACACGAGGCACCTCTTAGCATTTAAAATGCTCCTAATTCAAATTTTTTTTATAATAGAACAGCATGTATTGTACTGTAGGTCCTGGGTACAGTTACAGCATGTCCTTTTCAGGGCTCTTCTGAGCTTAGAAACAGCTGAGGATTTGACAGAATGAAGTCAGTCTGCCAGTCCAACAGTCTGTGGGCTGAAGACTGGTACATTCACATACTGGTATTTCTCCTCTTAGAGTTAGCCAAACCCTGTGGAGTTTTAGCCCTTTTGTAGCGTTAGGAAGCTGTAAGTCCTTCTTTTGTTTATCATGTGCACACGCACAAGAAGCATATGCAGCACATACTGTATACTGTATAGGTTATACGATACAGTTTTACTAAGGCTTTTACAACAGTCCACTAATGTGAAGGTAGCACTAATAAGGTGTCCAGCAGGGATGAGGAGGACTGGAAGCTACAGTAGTGAACTGGATGTCAGCAATACTGGATTTAAATACTGTATGTAAAGGTTTGATGCTGAAGAAAAAACACTTGGCATATTTATTAGACCTCAAGAATATAATGCATAACTTTGTTTGTTCACAGTAAAACTTCATAGAGGACCTTTAATTTGTGTCAACACACTTCAGTTGTGATAATTCACAAACTGATACAGATTTTTTTTTCCTTCTCAAATGCTTCTTACAAGATAACATTTGTCATATTTAATGCATGGTGTTACCTATCACTTTTGCTGTGCTTTATACCTATACTGATGCTACCACTGCTGGTATAGGGCTGGATAAAGCTAAACCACTTTTTTAAAACTAACTTTATTTTATAAAAGGTTCTTGTTCTTGGTTCAGACAACATTTAACATTTGAGGTGTTTGACTTCTTTTGTTAAATGGAAAAAAGGTCTGTTTTATAACAGTTTTATACTTGTTAAAGGAAGATATCAAACATGTTATATTCATAAACTGGTTCTGAAATTCAGCTATCAGGTACAATTAGCAATCATACTTAAAATGTTCAATCAATACCCATCATTGTGCTGCTGCTTTTAGTTCCATCCATCCACTCTTATCCCCAGCTTGCAGGATCACAATGAACTGTAAGCTCTTGATACAAGACCGGTTCTCTTGTCAGCCAGAGTTGAATGGATCCAGTCTAGTTGTGTTCTATCTGTAGTCCACTCAGCCGAGGACTCAGGGGATCTGCAGCACAAAGCTAATATGACTCTTGAGGAGCCACTGTGGAACTAACCCTTTCCTACCACTCTGTCTGTGACTTCCTCCTTTCATCTACACTTTGCATTTTTTCCCCAAACTATTGCTCACCCCCCAGTAAATCAGTCTCTTGCTCTTTTCTAAGCTCCATTTCATTCTAAACATACAGTATCTCTAGCATCCAAGTTTTCAGATCTCCTCTTGCCATCCCTCACTCCATCCTAGTGCTTTTATTATAAGCCTTTCTGCCACAGTGGGAAATGAGATAACTGGGATCCATATAACCACGAACCACACATCCCATTACATAATGCAAACAGACAAAGGGAAAAAGTTACCGTGTGAGGATGTGGGTGTGTGTTGTGGATATTGGATTAAGGTCATTACAGTTTTAGCCTTCTAGATTTGTAGTAAAGGCTGTGAGGATAGTCAAACTGTGCCACTAATACAGTTTTACACTCACTGAAAATCCCCATACATACATACATGCACAAAAGCACACAGGCATTCTCCCCTCAGGGTAAGCAAAACAGTGTGACATCAGTTTGTGTTTCAATGAAAGTTTTCCACTCATAAGTGACAGTATCACTCAAACATGACATTCTGTATGCAAGGATAAAAAAATGCAAGAGTTTTCTTCTCTGAACGTCTGATACACTGAAGAAATTTCAGCTCTTCTGCAAAAAATGTTGCTACAACAATGACAAAGGAAAAACTAAACTAGTAAAGATACTGTAAACAGCATGTGGTGAGTATTTAATTAATTGTAAGGTACTTGCAAAGGTACTTGTGTCAAAATGCACTTCAGATTTCAAAACTACTCTCTATGCAACAGAATAGCTCCTGTCTGTGTTTTATTCTTACTGACCCATTGCTGTGCATGCAGCATTGTACGCTGTAGCTATTTGAATTAAAGCTAATTTTAAGCTCTTTATACACTGGTGGGAAGTTTAATCTAATGCATCATATTTTATAGATAATATGCTATATATTTAAAATGTAAAATACAGATTTTTACTTGACCAAATATAAAGTAATGCTTCCTATAACGTTTCCCTCTGAAATGTAGACGAGCTGAAGAATAAAAGTGTAAAATGTAAATACTCAGGTGGACATGCATGCACCACTGTGTAAATGTGCATGTGTGTGTGTATACCCAGAGATCCGGTCCTGTGCAGGTCCAGATAGGCTCTGTCTCTTTCCAGGCCCCCACCCGGCTCTCTGCGCAGGGCGGTGCGGCCCAGATGACCAGCATATTGACGCAGGAAGGAGGGAGCACTATGAGAGGCGGGAGGGTGCACGGCACACACCACCATGGGCTCTGAGATACACAATGCAGATGGAGAGCCATGGACAGGGAGAAAAAGAAAAGGAAACAAAACAGAGTGCCAGAGAAGGCAGGAAAGAAAAAAGAGCACTCAGGACAACAGAATGACACAAAATGAGAGGAGAAAGCAGAGGGGATCAACCAGAAAAAAAATCAAGTTAAGGCCACGGGAAAATGAAGAAACAGAGGGATGAAAAGTTGAGGAGTAGCAGAACAGAGGGCACAGAAGCAGGAAAATAGAAACGGGCAGGTGACAGAAATTGCATGAAACCAGGAAAAAAAACAGGAAAAGAGACAGCACACGGTCACACAGGGAACGGACACAGAAAGGTAGTAGGACATGTAGGAATGGTACAATATACAGTAGTGATACATAACAGAGTGGGGATACATACAGCTGATGTACCCATGTCACAAGAGGGAACAACTGTGGCATACAGTAACAGAAATGGCAATGGAAAGTGTTTGATGAGTAAAGAAAAGAGACATGCACTCAAAAAATGGCAATGGAAAGTGTTTGAGTAAAGAAAAGAGACATGCACTCAAAAAACTAGCAGGTGCGCTGTAGCAAACAGGCCACAGAAGTAACGGGGAAGCCAAATATACCTTGACCTAATCGGTGACAAATCTGTGGAACACCCTGTCAGCATGCAAGCATCATCACCATTCTTTCACATCCATTAATATTAATGAATCTTTAAGCAGAACATGGGTTGAATCCCATGTCTCATCTCCTATCTTTCAAGTAATCCCCTAGTTCCTCCACATTCCACTGTAAATTCCACTGTATCCCCAAGTATTAGGATTTGCTGTTCCTCTGAAATCCTCACAATTCCTTTCCAGTCTCACCTCCAGTAACACGTGTCTAAGTCACAGTGGAAGAACAGATGTGATCAGCACCAGCCTTGACATTGCTTCTAATTAGCACATTGAAAATGTGAGGAATGCTTTTACCGCTCTTTTGCACAGTCTAAGACAGAGAAGTGGTGGCTAGGAGGGTGATACAGCAAGGGAAAGGAAAAAGGAAGATGGTAAGTACAAGATGTAGAGCTGTGGTTAAAGTTTAATGTCCCTCTTCTCATCCACTACATCACATCCTCCTTGCTCCTTCTGGAAATGAACTCGCATAGCTCGAGCTATTAATGGCAAACGCGAGGGATGTAAAAATAGGGGAATGAAGATAGAGCTGACGGGGAGTTAAATGAATTAAGTAGGGTTGTGGATGTTGCAGCCCAGGAGTTGGAATAACAGAAGCAATGAACATTATCAGTCCTTGTGTCCATGCTTTCCCACAATGCAGCCAACAACTCTAGCCTAAAATCCAACACAGATATATTTGAACACTGAAACAGAGGCAACAGAGGCAACCAGCCTCACTCTGTGTTCTCACCTGTTTTCTGTCTGAGAGGAAGATAAAGAAGCACACACTCACAAAGACTGATTACACTCACACACTGTTCAGGTTAGGTGGAGTTCTCAGATTTTCCCAAAGTGGGTTCTGTAATCCTGGAAGATGGCCACCAGATGGCACCCAGAGTTTCTGAGGATGACACTGCGTTTTGCATTTTCTTCTAGAAGCTAAAATATTCTCTTTTGCTCATTTGAATACACAAATGAATTTACCCAAATTCCCAGCAAAGCTTTGTAAATTCACATACATCTCCAGGATGCTACCCCTTTCAGCCTTAATGATTAACTAGTGAAGTAAAGTTAAGAGTGAAGTGATGATGATGTTCATAACAAGGTGATAGTGATGAAGGTTAAGATGGCTCCAGTGGGTTGAAAAGCTCAGGTGAAATGTTGGCTGTATGTGTGTCAGTTGTTTCTTTGCATGTTTGTATGCATTCAGAAGAGCAGTGTTACTGTTTATAGTATACCTATTTCAGGGAGCAGTTCAATGTCGATGGAGGACATATAACAGTGGAGGACAGTGCAGTGTCTGCTACTGTAATTTTGCATAACATTCTTGAATCTATGACAAAGATCAGCTATGGCCTCTGCTTTGGCTCTCTACACCTACACCATCATTTGCAAACCACTACATGAGTTAATGCTTCCTCATGTGCTGAAAAAGCTCTAAATGAAATGTTAAGGTCTTGAACTACTGAAGCACATGAGAAACTGCTCATATATCACATGGTTTGCTCCTGTATTGTAAAACATAAACACTGGAGTCAAATAAATCACTGTTTGACTCCTAAGAAGGTTAAGGAGGTGACACAATTACACAATGTTTCTTCTGTTATGAACTGAATTACTATACTCTCATTCAGTATATGGACATATTGCACATGGTAGAGTATGTATGAGTATTACATACACACACAGTATTCTCAAAAGTATGTGTGTGTGCTGCAAAGTCTGAAATACCTCCCCTCTCACATTCTGCATGCTTGTGTGACACCATCTGCTGAGGTGCTTGTGTATACCTGCGTGTGAGTGCATGTGTTTGTGTCTCACCATTGTCCCTGGCTGTGGATGGCTCATCCAGGGCCATCTGCTCTGCTAGTTCTGACAGGGAGTCGTCGACGGGCCGAGCACTGCGTAGAGACATGGACAGCCTCCGCTTGATTATCTTCATCCTGTCCATCTTCTCAACCACACCACCGGGGCCCACAGGCCTGAGGAAGGGGGTGGAGCAAACGCCAACATCATCATTATCTTCATCAGCGCCACCTGCATCTCCATCATCATAATCACGGCCATTGTTCTCATTATAGCAATCAACAGTTAGATCCACACTGCCCTGTTAATGCTCACTGTAAAGCAAAAATGAGCAGCCTCTGTGTATTTTCTAAAGTTCTTTGGGTTCTTGATGACTGTGTTTGCTCATGCAGTATGCATTGTCATTGTTATGTATCCCAAGTGCAAACACTGCAGAGTAAAAGACAGAATGAGAGAAAGACAAGCCCAGAGAGAGACAGAGAGAGAACGACAGCAACAAACAAAAAAACATATAGAAAAACATGTTAACAGCTGACTGTGCAGTTTCCCAAAGGTTTCTCAGATGAGCTGTGATCGACACACAATGGCATGGTTGTTCCAATAACTACCCATAAGTCAAGGTATACATCTGCATTATTCCAATTCAAACATGGCAGACAAAATGTCTGTGCAGATTCTCAGTCATCCAGGTCATAGTAAGCTGAAAAAACTTAGACAAAATCAACTGGACTAGGTTTCTAGCTCGAAGACATTTCAACTCTCATCCAAGAGGCTTCATCAGTTCTGACTGACTGGTGTTGAGCCGGAGATATTTATCCCCCTCGGTGGTGTTTCAGTCCTTTGAAGGTCAACAATGTCCCCTAATGACTGAGTCATTATAGCCCAGTATCGGTGAGAGTCGTTACCTGTCTTTGAATCCTCCTCTGTCGACTTGGACCTATTGTCCTGGTGGGTATGTTTGGGCAGAGATCTCAAAACAGGATTGTAGATGGAAGACAAGTTGTGTCTTAGTCCACCACCCCTTTTTAGAGAGGGGTGTTATATTTTTACCAAAATAGCTTCCTTGACTCCTCTCTCAAACCAGCGATGTTCTCTGGAGAGAATCTGGACTTCATTGTCCTTAAAAGAATGTCCTTTATCCTTCAAGTGGAGGTGGACTGCTGACTCTGGTCCACTGGCGTTAGCCCTCCTGTGTTGGGCTGCTTAGTTTCACCAATGTACAAGTCGTTACACTCCTGACTACACCTAATGGCATACACCACATCACTCTGTTTATGTCTGGGTGTTTTGTCCTTCGGGTGGACCAGTCTCTGCCGTGGCTATGTTGTAAGTCACGGAATACTCCTTCCTTGTGTATTTTGGGTAGGCCATAAAGGCAAGGGATGGCCTCCCCGGGGTATAGTCTGTAGTATAGTCGCTGGTCAATAATTCTTTCCTTTTCCAGCTTCTGTAAACAGTCTATAACCTTCTTCTTGTAGCCACTGGTGGGGTCCCTCTTCAGGGCTTCATAGTGGTGGTGTCACTGGTCGGAAACTCTGGTCTGATAGTCAGCTGAGTTTAGGACCACCGTACACCTGCCTTTGTCTGCTGGAAGGACTCTCACCGATACTGGGCTATAATGACTCAGTCATTAGGGGACATTGTTGGCCTTCAAAGGACTGAAACACCACCGAGGGGGATAAATATCTCTGGCTCAACACCAGTCAGTCAGAACTGATGAAGCCTCTTGGATGAGAGGTGAAATGTCGTCGACCTAGAAATCTAGTCCAGTTGGTGGCAGACAAAATTTCATACGACACAATGAAGAATAAAATCATCTACAGTAAGCATATTAAGAGGTGATCCACCTATGTTCAATATGTATTTGTGTGTGCACACCTACTAACATCACTGAGCTTCCAAAGTTATATATTGTTTATAGTGAACCTCAGCAGACATTTAAAATCTGGTTTATCTGTGCATGTGCTGTATGTGTGTGTTTGTGTAAGAGCACTTGTGTGTGTTGATATCACTTTGTGGGGCATGTTCCTCAGACCCGGAGGAAGAGGCAGCTATGGCAGAGTATTTCTGTGACCCTTCCACTTCCTCCTCCTTCTCTCTAACCCATAAGGGCTTGAAAGCTGACATGCACAAGTGCACACACACACACAAACATGCATGACACCCACTGCCTTTCTCTTTGTGTCCAACTTTGGAGGCTTCAACAAAAGCCATTCATCCTTTCAGACTCTCAGTCTTTCAGGTCTATTAGAGACAGGCAGTTCTCTGAGGAAATTCAAGCCCAGCGATCCTCACTCAGGACAACTGGCTTTATTTTAGGATGAGATGTGCTCAGGCAAGTATCCACTGTGAATAGCATCAGCTCTGCCAATTTACATGACCACAGTTGAATGTGGCTTGCACCTTACCCAGAGGAGCTTCTTTAACATAAGTTAAAGAAAGGAACAAAGGAATGAAAGGACAAAATTTCATATTCATATTTCATATCATCTGTCCCCCACAGATTATCAGTATGGAACGAATCTCCCTCCCCCCTCATTTGCATGTTTTCCCAGATTTCACTAGGGAAGGAGCCTGCATAGACAAGAAGACTGGGTTCTCCTCATGCTACACTGCAGCTGTAATCCAAGAATGTTCAATGATAAATGACTAACATTATGTGGGAGCAGCCAATGATATAACACACTGCTTATTACCTAGATAAATACATACCAGTGTTATCATTAACACACACCTATGCTTGCACTCATCTGTGAACACACACACAAACAGAAACACAGTGATGACTCATTTCACAGTCTTCAGCCTATCTCTGTTAACAGTAAGGTAGTGGGAATCTCATTACCCAGCACCTTAACCGGCTAAACTTCACAAAGCCACTATGTATGTAGTTGAGATTTCCAATTTTATTCATTCTATGATGAAATCAGGCATAATCTCTCCTGTAAACAACTACATAAAATAAGAATAACAAGTATTAAAAATTATAATAGAACTAATAACGTTGTACTTATACTTATCTTGGCCAGTGGAAGGGGTTATGTTTTTTTCCAGTGTTTGTTGGTTTGTTTGTTTGTGTTTGTCTGTTTGATTGTTAAAAGCATAACTCAAAAATTAATGAGCAGATTTGGATGAAATTTTTTGGAGGTAGGATATGGGTCATGGAATAATTGACAGCTCCCTGGGTCAGCGAGAGCTGCCCATTCATTGTCAATGGAAACTGAACGCTGTCACTCAGTAGTCGCTCGACTGAAAGAGTTCCACGAGGTGATAGCCCCTTGAATAACTTTCAAAGTAATAACTAATAATATCAGCATCATTCCAAATGCTAGCAATAAGATTTCATGGTCAAGCAGTCATATTATTAGCGTCAAACTATTGTGAGAATATTGCTTTTAGATGTAATGGCATTATGGGTAAATTGAGTTGTCTTGGTGGAGGTTCGCACTCTCTGAGTGCTGTCTAGGTACTTTCTATCCCAGTTGTGATCCTAATCTTTAAATCGTTGCTACAATGCTACAGTATTAAGATTAGTGCAAAGAAACTTAACTGGGCTGCAGTTAGACTTCAGCATAATGTAAGACATTCACTGTTTTATAAGTTTGTCTATGATGATTAATTGGAGTAATTAAAAAAGTTTCAAGAATGAAGTGTTATGAATGTGACAGTCCTGTTGTCTGGCACAGATGAATGTGGCACCGTGAAGAGCTTTACAGAGGCACATCAGTGAGTGGGATGAGACATGTGGCTCCAGGCTGCAGTATGTGCAGAAGACGCACACTAGACATCCGGCAAACCACGAACAACTCTGATACACAACTCCCACCAAATGGAAGGACACACTCCAGTTGATGGAGGCTGATCTCACTCCTACAAACACACTAAAAGCTACTCTGCTGTTTATGAACTCACAAGCAGTATAACACGGGCTGTGCAATAAAACTATCACAAGAAACCAAAGGTTAATAGGGTAAGTGATACAAAAGAGTGCAGGAATAAAACCTCTTCCAACTTTGTACTAAGTTATTTGTGTGTATCTGTTAACAGCGTGTGAGCATGTGCACATACTATTTTGATGTGTGTGTGAGTGGTTGCATGAACATGGTAATATAGTAGTGAGATGAACTGAAAGGCTCCTAAGGACAGAGGAGGAACACAGTCTGATATATTCAAGACACACACACCATTTGGGTTGCTAGGTTACATGCCCAGGCTGGAACTGCAGTTTCTGCCTCTGAAGGTGAAAAGAAGAAGAAAGGAGACACAGAGAGGCAAAATACTGAGAATTTATAATTCACATCTCTCTGTCCCCTCTCAACACTCCTCCACACGCATACACACACACACGTCAGCTATAAAAACTTCCAGCCCTCCAGTGCTTGGGAGGCCACACAGCACTGCACCATGCAATCCTTGCCAACCAGACTCAGGGATTCCACTGCCAATTATGCCTCTTTAAGAGCCAAAAGACTGAATGAAAGACGCGAGTCTGCAATACCCACATGCAATACACAAACACCAGCTAGCTGAATGTATGGCAAACTCATGTACAAACATACAGATGCAAAAAGAAAGTATTTTATAAGAACAAAAGGGAAGATTTTGACAGTGTTTGTGATCAGGATTCTACTTTGTTTCAGCCAGATATTATCTTGCCTCCTGTAACTCTTTCTTTTCTTTTCATCACAAACAAGCATTCTTCTGCAACTCAGCAGAACAGTACTCATGGGGATGCATGCACACACATATAACATGGCAGAGTGGGCACTCAGTGGCACTCCGAACACCGCTTGGTGCAGTGGCCTGAGGATGCATGAGTAATGCACAAATCTGCCCAGCTACTGAATCCTACACACATCCACACACAAACTAACAAATAACAGAAAAATGAAACCCATTTGCCTTACAAGCTGTCTAAGATCTGAAATGTCATTTTTAGGCACAACAGGAAAAAATGAAAATATCTGCCTCTGATTTTGTGGAAATCTGACTAAAAGGTGTCAGAAAGTTCAGAGAGAATCCTATATCTGCATTTAGGGTTGGATAATCAATATCACAATACTGAAATGAATATTCTCCATTACAGATATGATAAATGTATGTAAAATGACATATAAAAACATCAAATTACCTTTGAGCACAATGGTCTGTGTTGCACTATTAAATTACTTAAGACAAAACTTTGCCCCCATATATTTGAACAGTTTGAATAATGAATCTGTACAACTACCTGCTTTGGTCATATTTCATTATATGATTTTACTGCAAGTTGGTATGCAATTACACGGAATGATTGGCCAACCAAAACTTAAACTTTTATTATTATTATTATTCTTGCTGCTGTTGTTGTTGTTTTTGGGGACAATCATGTAAAAGATACTTTGACCTCACTGTTAAACGTAATTAGGCCTACCTGACCAGAGAAGAGTGTAAAACTGGGTGACATTCAAACCAGAAGACGCAGATGGAGGTGCGCTTGGTTTTAGGTCATCACACTGTACGAAAATAAGACCACTTAGCAAAAACAAAAAAATATAAATAGGCTACCAAACTCATGAGACTCAGTAGGATGCAAAATATATAACGATGTCCTTATCATAACTGTTGTCCAATCATTACTGTTGTTATAATACAAAAAGATATGCAGTAATATTACATAATTATTATTGGTCGCGGATCATTATTGGAATATTTCAATCTGGTTGCATCACAAAGGCAAAAGCTTTGACGAATGCGCATATTTCCCAGGGTGGGCATCCCACACTGGGGAGAACATAATTAAGGTCTAACTGATAGAGTCCCAATATGCTGCTTGTTCACAGACATGCTTTTACGCAGTAACTGTTCAGCCGATCTGGTGATACAGGCTTGCCATCGACCAACATCCAAGAGGTTATGACAACACTGCAGGACCGCAGGATTAGACTGTCACAATATGCTGGGTGCACAAGAGGGAACTGCAAGCAACCGCACGATGAATACCACGGGACTAGCCAAACACGCGGAGGCTCATGTCGGGCCTGACTGCCAGAGATTCCTCTATCCTTCAGGCCTTTTGCGCTTTCGGTCAGTTCCTCTCTCCCCGTGTTTTCCTGCCCGGAGTATCCGGGAGGAGGGGAGTCAGACACGGCAAAGAAAAAGTTACACAGCCGCCCGGCCGCTTTAGAAAGTCAAGGAAACAGGACTGGGATCAAGTGGGCGATCCTGACGTTTAGAACTGTATTTAGAAGGGTTGGGACACACAAGTTGTTGCAAGATTTCAAGTGCTTTGCTCTTAGTGCTTAATTTGGAGTCAGTCCGAGGTGCCCTTTTGGTTATTTATGGCTATTTCCCTTGTATCTGTCCCTTAGCATCCACATTAGTTCTACAAAGACTCATACTTACGCAAACAGCTTTGTTTAAGCGAGCCGGAAAACAACTCTACCTGCAATGTGAGGTGATAGGACAACAACCATCGTCACCCTTGTTTGTTGTCCCAACATTTTTTTTACTGGTTCAAAACACTGAGCGAAGACAGAGCGAACATAAACAAACAAAATTCCGCTTCCACTGACCTGCTAGTGTTTCTGATGCAGGAGACTATTGTTCCACTTCTGTATGGCAATCCAGGCAGCACTCTGGGATGGATCCACTGCGCCAAGTTCCTCCAACTACTTTGCTGCAAAACACACCAGACTGCCTATTAGCCGACAGCTAACTCTTATCCCTGTGTTAAACGGTGTGTCGCAGTGTCCCGGTGCCTGACTGGGGGCATTGTTCACCTGTAATATTGCATCACTGCTCTTTACTTTCGCTTATAAAAAAAAAACACTGCCCCGTCTAGTGATGATCAGCCATATCGCTGCCGCTACTGCTGCTATGTGGATCCCAAGTGGTAACAGTGGCGTAATCCCGGAAAATACCGCAAGGGGTGTGCGTGTGTGACTGTGGATGAGTGCAGCCTATATCAGACTCTGTTATCTCTAGCTCCATTTGGATCCTCTACCTTTCGAGAGGGTTCAGACACATTAATTCTGGGATGGGGTGGGGCTTGGTGTCACATGGGGAATTGCCCTTTATTTTCCAAACCACATTACCATCTAAATATGCGCCTCAGAGAAAATTCCTAATTAACCGTAGGATCCGCCACTGCTTGGCAGACATCAGTACATATAGAGTCCTCAACCGTGGATGATTGCTTTGGAGAACCGATGCTAAGATTTCCATACAACGAGCTTTAAAAGTTCTTTTCTAATAAAATAAAAGTTAATAAAACTTTTTCTGTCCAGGGGATCACCTGGCATCTCAGATAATACAGCAAACACTTTTGACACAGACGTCTTTCTGCTGGTCTTCATCGCCACCGTGTGGTTCATTTGAGCAACTGCAGTACGTTTTGCATTCATAAGCCACATTTATTCACTGGGACAAATTGTTTAGGGCCAGTCTCAGCTGGGCCCTAGAATGTGTGACCAGGGCGATCAGGATAAAAGAAAAACTTGCACAATAATGCAATATCAAGTGCAAAGGTGCTATTACTTAAACTTCTTGGTATCTGACTGATTTATTAGACTGTTTTAAGGACTATATGTTCTCAAAAAAGTCCCAAGCCCTTCTAACAATAAGCTCAAAAGGGGCTCATTCTGTTTGTTAATTTCAAGTTTAAAAGCCTGAAGATATGATGAGTTTATATATGTGTGTGTGCCTTTGTATTACTTACATTATTGGGACCAAAACCTATTAACACACTCACATTGTGGAGATTTGATCAGTGTATTTTAGGGTGGCAACATAGTTTAAGGTTAGGGTGATGTTAGGTGGTAGGCAAGTAGTGGTTATGGTTAACGTTAGAATAAGTGCACAGGAAATGAATGTAAGTCAATATAAAGTCCCCACAAGGAATGAAAACACCATATTAATCACCTCACCACATCCCAGATTGTGGTGGTGAAAAGTAACTAAGTACATTTACTCAAGTACTGTATTTAAGTCCAATTCTGAGGCATCTGTACTTGCGTATTTTCATTTTCTGTCATTTTATGCTATAACTTCACTACATTTTAGAGGCAAATATTATACTTTTTACTCCATTACATTTAATTTATACATTTAGTTAGTAGCTACTTTTCATAACTAGATTAATACAAAAATACAATATAATTATAAGACCTTTATGAAATGCGATGGAACATTCACAAGCTATCCAGCAGTAGCTCAAATTAAATGCATATACTGTAAGCTAGTTAAAACTACCTTCCCCTTTACCATCTGCAATGTTAAATGTGATGTACACAATACTACATCAGTAACTATAATACAATATACAGGAATGTGAAATGTGCCATTCTGTATAATGAGTACTTTTACTCTTAGTACTTTATTTATTTATTTATTTATTTTATTAGGTTTTTGGCCAACAAGCAAAATTAGAATTGCAATTATTTTACACAAAAAAAGCATGAAACATAAGGGTACATACATCCATTTCAATAAAAGCATGTATGCACACATACATAATCATACAAAATAAAATGAAATAAATAAAAAACAATGTTACTGAGCAAAGGTGTAGGCTGAAGCTAAAGCTTATTATGCCTACCCTTACTCCACACAAGCACTAATGGACATAAATTTAAATTAAAAAAATACTGATTATTCTGAATATATATTTAGAAGAACATGCATTATGATATTATTATTATTATACGTTAAGTTTGTTTTGATGCCAATACTTTTGTATTTTTACTTAAGTATCATTTTGAATGCAGAACTTTTAACAGAGTATTTTACACTGTTGTATTTCAACTTTTACTTAATTAAAGGATATATACTGACCCCTATAAGCCATATGTAAAGTAAAATATGCTTAGTTAACTACCTATTAATTGTAATCAATGATACAATATATATATATACATATGTCCAATCAGTCAGAAGAAGTAGACCTACTATACATCTATGTTGATAATAGCCTTCTTCTGTACTAAAGTATGATGTTGAATGCAAGGCTTTTACTTACAGGATAATGTTAGTAAATTAGATTTAAGGTAGAGGATGGCTTTTACCTATAGTAGAGCATCTTTACATTGTTGAATTTGTAACTGTACATAAATAAAAGACATGAATACTTCACCTCCTCTTGAATGTGCAGTAAAAAGTCAGTCAGTGGTCCAGACATCATTGCCCTTTGGTCCCGACCGCTAGAGGTCGCTAACGATTTACTGCAGGACTTGAAACGGCGGCTCCTCTGCAATCGTTAGCTTGTCAGGGGCAGCGCATCAGCCGCCGGGTAGCTAACGAGGGTTTAAGGGACTTTAGTTAATGATGAATCTTCTATCTATCAAAGAAAGCGACTATAGGCATACTTGCTTTTTTGCTCGGAACTGCCCCGCTTCTTTGGGTAAAAGTAAAAGAGCTGACAGTGTCGAATTTTATCTAAAGAGCCAGAGGTTTGCGGGGGGCTTTGCCCCTTATCTTAGTTAGGTTTGCCAACGACAAGCAGACATCTGACATTATTAGGCAGAGGCAAAGTGTCAGACACTGGCACTAACGTTACACAGCAAGTAAATACATCCGTCTTTCCGCTGCCATTGATTTGCAGTCGTTTATGTGACAATGGAAGACACCCAGGAACATTTCATGGAGCAGGAAGAATTCGACGGCAGCAACAAACCATCATCATCGCCCTACACTTCCCCCTTTCGCTCCACTCGACTGCACATCCAGAGAAGTAATGTCTGCTCTCGGGCTTATTTCGTTGTGGTTATGGTCTTCTTCCATGTGTACATCCTGAATGTTATCGCCCTGCTACTCTACGTGCACTACAACAACGGACCCGGTGATCTTGTCAGTGGAGACGGGGCCTCAGCATCACTCAGCGAGAACGGAAGCCCTCTGCCTCCTCCGGCTCCAGCTTCAGGAGAGCTCCATGTGGAGGACTACAGGGAAAGTTTCAGTCTCCCTCGCATTGAGGGGATACGGGTATGAACACATACTTAAGATAGTTTCAATATGATGAAGTACGCCATTTTATCTCAGTGATGGAATGAACCCTGCAATGTAATGTGTTACCCAATAAAACATAAGGTTGCTCATATTTTTCATAGAAATAAACATTGAATATGTTTTTAAAATACTCATTAAGTACATTAAGTGAAAGTACTCAGTCACAGTATCAGGAGGTACTGGTTACCTCCAGGTTCACTACATGCTGTAAAACCATTAATCAAATTTTGCTGCCTAGCTAAAATTAGTTTTAATTGCACCAACCCAAACTAAAGCATTTTAAACTCATTTTAAATGTCATTGCTACTTGGAGCTATGCTAGCAACCTCCATGCATTTGAAAGCCCA